ATTGTTTGTAAGAGTGAATGACTGTTGTGGTGCTGCAACATTTGTAATTTTGGGACAGTGACACTAATATTTTGGGGGGGGGGGTATTGTGTAACTTTGAACAGTCACTAAGTGAACTGTCGTAACTTGAGGATTAGCTCTATAAGAATAGAATATTTGGCAGCTAAGATATATAGTATCTCCATACAAAATGTTTCTCTATAGGTTTGTTCTTGTTCCATGCTTCTACAAAATACAATCTAAGCATATTGGAAACCTAAATGCAACTATTTCCTCTTAAAAGTTGAGAGCTGTTGGGAATTGAGCAGAATGCAAATTTGATAAATTATTATTATGACAACATTTTATTGTATGTCCCTCTTGTTTTAAAAACCACAAACTAGACCAGTAGAATGGATCATATTTTATACTCCCAAAGATCATTTTATACACACATGTATATGATTCCTTATTTCACATCCAAGCTGATAAAAATTTCTAAGAGTTCTTATATTGTTTTATAAAAAATATTGTTTTATCATGTTTTAGCATCTCTGTAATAGTTCAAAATGATAGCTCTCTACTGTAACCATAGCTAAAGAATTAAAGTGTTTATTGTACACTTATAGACTGGATTACTGTAACTCCCAGTTCATTAATTAAAACAGTCACTTCCACATACTTAACCCACTAAAATTATCACACTAATTTTATTATGACTATATATTAACTCTTGAAAATCTAAGGTAACTCTTGTCACCTTTAACCGATCATTGCCAGTGCAAAGAAAGAGAAATAAAAATTAATAAAATGTTACCTTGTTAAGATATGCAGGGCAGGGCAGGGCAACTAAGTTCACATGGCTCTAAAGACTTTTGACGGAAGGATAATGCAGAAAGAAAAAGGTGATCTGCAAAGAAAGTCCAGCCAAAGAAGGCCTGAAAAACTCCAAGACTAACAACCATCACGAGTTGAATTCCAGAAATATTTCTACTGGGTGACCTAAAAATTCTCTGAACTACTTCATCACCCTTCACAAACTCACCAATTGACTTGTAATGTAAATTAGGCTAGACATGCAAACTCAACCCTTTAGATATTTGCACATGAAATATGAAGTACTGGAACTTACATTGGGATCCTGTGCATCACTGTGGTTAGGAATAAATGCCTATGTGGGTAGAATGACCAGGTAATTGCTAGTAAATCTACTACTCAGAAGATAAGCGCCTCTTTTACAAGACATCAGAAAGGTAAAGAATCCATAAATTAAAACATACGGTTTAATAACCAGTAGAAATGAGGTAGAAAAATCTTGCATAAAAACAAGTTCTTTTCTCTAGATAAATTACTTTGCGATTTCCATAACAAAGCAGCATAATCAATTTAGTATTTACATTTTTCCTCCATATAGTTAAGACACATAAAAAAGCTTTAAGTCTTGAAGGATTTGAATGAGTTAAATTTCTAGAGTGTATCCAAGTGGCACCCTTTGACTTTACAAATGAACAGGGAAAATATTATATATTGTGGGATTTCGTTGGTCCTTAAAAAGTTGTTTCAGAAGAATCTGTGTGATACATCTTGGTATGCTGAAACATTATGAAATTGCCTTATGAGATTGAAATAAAAAAGGAGTCAGACAGGGATGCCCCCTCTCTCCTTTGCTGTTTATATTAACTTTGGAAATTTTATTAAGTGAAATTCGGAAGGACCAGGGAATAAAAGGTCTAAGACTCAAAAATGAAGAATATAATGTCCAAGCCTATGCTGATGATTTAGCATTTGTTCTAGAGGATCCATTAGAATCCAGCCTGAAATTAATTCAAAAATTAGAAGAATATGGCAAAGTAGCAGGACTAAAGATCAATAAAGAAAAAACAAAAATGGTAACCAAGAACATGACAAAAAAAGCAAGAAGAGAAACTGGAAGTAGCAACCAGAATGCAAATAACTAAGAAAGTGATATACTTGGGAATCTGGGTGTCAGCAAAATGTTCCACAATTAAAGACGATAATGATAGTGATACAAATTAAGATTTAGAAAATTGGAAAAATATTCAGCTCTCACTCATGGGACATATAGCAACAATTAAAATGAATATTTTACCAAGAATCTTATTCCTGTTGCAAGCCGCACCTATTTGTTGCATATTCAATATG